GGCAGGCCAGATGTGATGTGAACAGACTGAAGGACATGTTAAACATGTTTGATCCGGTAGCAAAGAAAATAAAAAAACACAAACAGCACCCAGCAGTTAACACACCTTAATACTACAAAAATGTAAAACAAAACTCAACAAAGGTTAAACTAAAAGCCAGGGGAATCTTATGAAAGTTTATTTTGAAAATCTGTTCTCATAACTCCTACTCTTATGGGTGATATTACAGCCTTTAGGGCGGTTCTGTTAAGTTTCTGTGAGCTAAAACCTAACATTTAGAAGCAAACGCACTAAAGAAAAGCACCATGAAGCAGCAATGCAATAGTTCATATGGAAAAACCAAACTGTTTTGAATATAATTCATTAGTGTGATATCCAGCCAATATGAGAGGTGGCTGGAGGTGTCAAAAGAAAAAGGGAATATAGACACAAATTTATTTAAAAAAATTTAAGCTTATTAAATTTATTATTAAATCCAGAAAAGTAGCTGGGCATCAAATGTAAAGGTGATGTAAAAACAAAAAGAAAGTCATATTGATTTAATTAAAATATCCTTAATTATCCCTCAGACAGTCTCTATAGCAATGAAAGTGAGCTCTAATGTGTTTTAATTGCACTTCAGTCCACCCATTTTATCTTATGTTTAGGAATTGTACAGTCAATAAAAGTCTACAGTATTAGATATTTGTAAAACAAAGCTATTATGGACCACTGCTTTCAACATAACCCTGCTTCCCCTGAGGCAATTCCTGTCTGCTTTCTCGTCTCAGGTCAGAGACTTTGAAAAACATTACATTACTAGACGGCAGGAAGCTCATTGTTTCTGGATGATTTGCAGGTTGAACACCTACACAGATGATGTAACCGTGTCACTGAGGTGGGAGGACTGGCTATTTAGGTACTCTGGTATAAAGCCAGCAACATGGTGATTGCTTCAGAATGACTTTTAAAGACACTGAGAATAATATGCATGCAAATGAGAAAGCCTGGAGTTACGTCTGTTTTTTAAGACAAATATGAAAATCCTTCACTTCTACATGCCATTAAAATGTAAAATCCATCCATATACATTAACAGGGTCATTATGTAATCTATAGCATGGCCACACATATAAAGCTGTGTTTATAACCTCATTTAATAGCTCCTTAAATTGTCTCTTGATTGCTTATGGACGTTGGTAATTGCTCTCTAATTGAATATTACATGCCCACCAAAGAACATGAATGATAACGTTTAAAAAGAGATGAGTGATGTTTGTTCGTATTAGTCAGCTGTAAATATGAATGCCTTTGTGAGGCTGTCAGTGTGCACATTAATGTGCCAGCAGTCAACAATCAAATAGTTCTCTTTCCCTGCTGCGCTCGCTCCTCAAATCCCGCTTTCTCTCCCTGTTCCCTGCTGGAAGCAGCATCTCGGCTGAGACTTTTAGTTCCAGTGAATTGGGCATATTTGGGCTTCGGTCACAATTTGCAAACCTCTCTGATATTGATAAATTGACTTCATAAGGCACGGCGGCAGCACATTCCGTTGTTACTGATCAACGGTGAGATCTATTCCTTTCTCAATACACGAGGAGATTTCTCACCGGCGAGAAGATGAGCCCTGTGTCTTTGGGGAAATGCCCTCCAAGCAAGTCTTATTTTCATGCTGTCTCACACACCAAATTATGATTGTTGGAAGTAAAAAAAACAGCAGATGTCACTAAGTGCTGTTCCCCTCATTTGCTGTGTTTGCATTAGAGCCGAAAGGATATAACCCAAGCATTGGGTTTTTGTTCATTTCAGAAGGGGGAAAAAAAACAGATTTCTATAATTGTATAATGGGGCTGTCTCATCTTAGCCTCACCCATGCCCTGATTTGCTGTGACAGATGCCTGCAAACAAACTATATGATTACACAAAGCCAGAAAAGCACTTTCATTTGGTCAAGGTTAATGCTTTTGTTTATTAATGGGAATGCATTAGAGATGGATATGCTCCTGTTCAGGGGACTCTTTCTAATTCAAGGCAGAGATCCCTCTATCATATTCACCATATTTTGACTGGAGGAGTAATGCAGCTGATGATGTGTTGTTATTATTCTGGTCAACTTCAAAGTAGAAAGAGCAATGTGTTTTACCCACTTTCTACTATACCTAATGAGAGCAATAGAACAATAATAAAGTGGTTTTACTTTTAAAAGCATGTTTATAAACTTAATCCATGATAAATTTTACATTCCAGCATAATGCACAAAATATCAAAGACACTTTAAATGTATTTTTGATTATTTCTCCCCTGTTGGTAATTGTGAAATCCCATCTGAAGGCTCATAATCTGATAAACCAAAGCATTGGTCCAGAAACCAATTTTACGTTTCATTGGTCAAGTCCGTATTATAATCATAATCATCACTTAATAATATTGTATTATCAATTTAAGATTGTTTAAAAGTTAATTATAATTCTTCTCATTTTTAATTGACTATATGTAAACTGATGACTTGTGGCTCCTTAGGTTAAAAAAAGGCAAGTATCGCCCTGATGCATGGAAATGTGTCCAACACTATTGCTTAGTAGCAAATCACAAAAGCTAAAATAAGGTGTAGCTACTTTCCTAGAGAGAATTGAACACTAGCCACAAAACCACCTTAAATTGACTTTCTTTAAAATTGCTAATTCCTGCTTGTTGTATTTAGGTTGCAGTTTTAATTGGCATGGACAGCAATGATTGACAGCTGAGGTTTACAGATATCAGCTGGCATTAGTAAGTAGTCTGGCAGAAAAGCAAGTTTTGATAGATTCCATCATTGCTTCAGAAGCCTTTTCATGCTGCCTCTTGGATCTTACCCCTGAGGAATCCACAACTCAGATGAAGAAGAATATAATAAAGACCAGTCAGAGCAGGAGTTCAAAATGCATGGGGTTCAGCTATAGTAGTTTCAGCGAGACAACAAGCAATACTGGATGCTGTTACCGACAGCTGCAACAAAAACAAATGTGATGAAGTCAGTGATCGTAGCAGACAATTAACTGGTGCAAATCTATTGCATTTGAATCTCTGAATTATATGAATAAAAATACATATTTTTGTTTACATTTTCCAATTTGGATGGTTTCTAAGGAGGTTTGCCTCTTGTAAATGCAATATTCTGCTCACCTAGAACCAATTAGTCACCTCAGTAAATGCAGTTTTGGAATTCCTACAGATTCATTGTAGCACAGGGTAAGGATGACATCATCTACGTACCCTACCTGAAATCCCTATCTCCTTCTGATAGAGTGATGTTATTTCTTACTTTTTTCTCACTGGTGTCCGGTGGAATTACATCTGCAATGCAGGTACAGCCATAATGTGGTTATCTCCAAGGGCTAGGCTCATTATAAATCTGTGTTACTGGCGATCATTCTTTGCAGCAGTGGTACGTGATGCAGCACCTCTGCTGATCCTGGAAGGATACAATTGGGACTTAAAAACCACCTGTCATCTGTTATAGCTCCTAAATTAAAAAAAAATAATAATGTATACCAAGTTATATTGTTTTATATAGCCATCTTGGCGTAGAATGATCACTGCAGAGCCTTGTTGGTGATGGTCAAAAAATACATCTGAAAATAAATGAAATTACTAATAACAAACCTATTAGATCAGTATGTTGAATTGATTTGTCTCTGTAAAGTGACTGGTCATAACATATTGCTAATAAGCACTATGTAGTAAAATAACTGAATTTAAATAAATCAGTAGACATCTAAATAAGTTTTTACTCGAAGTGTATTTTTTGGGAGGATTGATTTCTTTCATTGCCACACAATATTAGACATAGTAATCGCTTAAAATGTGACAATATCAAAGAGAGTTAGATCAAATGATGGTCATATTAACCCAAATGTCACATAATAAATCTCTGATGGAGAGCTATACACTGTGCAGAAGAAAACTGAGAAAAAAATCCATGAAAACAAAAAGAACTTTTGGTGAGAGAAGACAGTGTTTGTGTTAATTAAATCTTTAATTTTTAATTGATTAGATCAAAATGATAAACCTTTTAAAGGGAAATTTCTTTTTTGTTTCCTTCAATTAACATTGTAAGAAACATAAAAAATTCTGCAGCTCTAAAAAATTTTAAATATATACCAATCAGCTTACTTTGAATTTGGTATTTGCTTTCATAAAATGTGTTTCTTTACTTTAAATCTTCACAGGCTACTTTTTTTTGGCTATAGCTCATTTCTGCATGAACCATGATCACACCAGGCTGTGTGACATGGCTATGCTAAAGTCAATCCAGCAGCACTGAATAATTTAATTGATGCTTATTATAGATAGCGTCCAACTCTCCCAGATTTCACAGTCTCACTAAGCCTGACCTGCGGCGCTGGAGAAGTACTCGTCTCTGTCACTTTGTCACGGGGTGTTTTGTTGTTCACTTCTCCAGCTTCCTCTACTCAATGCCTCTGAGTCACTCTTAAGATATTTCATTAACTATATTTCTCAAATGTATGACTGTAATAAGCTCTACAAGTTGATGTTGAATTATGAACAAAGCCTAACTTCCCTCACTGAGGCTGAATATCTATCAAAGACATGATATTGGAATTATGCATGATTTCAAATAAAAATATCATTGCCTGCTGTTTACCGTCAGTTAAATAATTTAGGATGCTTTCATGGAACAACTGCATGCATTTTCTTTTCTTTCAACTGATCAATTCAAACTTGTTAATGTGTGATGCATTTACATGCAGGAAATTTGAGATGTTATATGTTTTGCTGCTTTAACACTGCAGAGAAGAAATGGATTTTGTAAATTCTTGTACCACATGATCACATAAATGTTCATCTGCCATATTTTCTGGAAGTATTTAAAGATATCACTCCCACTTTCCTAGATGTCTATAAATACTTTGCAGCACCTCTTTAAACCAAGTGATCATTAAGCACAAAAATCCTGCAAAATCCATCCCATGTTTGCAAGGTTTTGGAACGTCTAAAGTCCTTCTCCCTCTCTCCTCTGCACAGCGATCCAAAATAGCGGTATACGAGAAGATGTGGTCATACATGAAATCTGCAGAGCCCTCTGTGTTTGTTAAGACCACACCAGACGGTGTTGCCCGAGTGCGAAAGTCGAAGGGCAAGTTTGCCTTTCTCCTTGAGTCCACAATGAATGAGTACATCGAGCAGCGGAAGCCGTGCGACACCATGAAAGTGGGAGGGAACCTCGACTCCAAAGGCTACGGTGTGGCGACGCCTAAAGGCTCAGCATTAAGGTGGGTGGAATAATATAACAATATTCCCCCTGTTGTTATAGTATTCCACCTACCCTGATGTCCCCTTGTCATTTTCTTCTCTTCTTCTTTGTTTTGTATGGACGCAGAGGTAATGGTAGTAATGCAATGAACTATAGTTGGATTCAAAGATTATTTAATGGGTTTTTTCTGCATTGAATTGATGTGTTATGTTAAAAATGACAAAAACCATATGAGAAGGTGAAAGCTAATGATCATTTCATATTTATGTCTTTCTTACTGCTGTTTTTTTCTCTCCTTCGATCCCTCCTTCTGTCCTGTGTGCTGTCCTACCTGACTGTTGTGTTGTCACTTTTAATTTAACAGTTCAATGGTTTTTCAATTTAGCCTTTAAAAGCTGCGCTGTCACTTGTGACGAATGTTAATTGCATGATGTTTGTTGTTGTTACTTTTTCTTCTCAATGACAAGTGTCCCCATCCCGCACACTTCAGTTCTAAACTACGTAACCCTTCATGCCACCTTTTTCCAAGATTTAACACTGTTTCTGCCTTATATGAGCCTTATCTCTTATCTCTCCATATTCCTTAAATTCCTAAGCAATTTGTCCTCTTCCTAGACTATTCTGATTAACCACAGTCTATGCATAAGCCCCTTCTTTGACACTGGTAGTTTCACTACCTTCCTATTATGACTTATCATTATCACTTTGCATTAGATTTCTCACGGACCTGTGCATTTTCTTACAAGTTATGTTTTATCGTTTCAAGAAATGCTGTTAACCTGGCAGTTTTAAAACTGAATGAGCAAGGCCTCTTGGACAAATTGAAAAACAAATGGTGGTACGACAAGGGAGAGTGCGGCAGCGGGGGAGGTGACTCCAAGGTCAGCCTCGATGTCACCACAATCGGGTACCATAGTGCAGAGTAATCGGCAAAGCTGCCAACATATAACCCAACCGACAGCAAACCCAATCCAGACCAAACCAACCGACCTGCTGCACTGAGGCAGATAAGGAATATTTACAGTTAGATTGACCAGACGGCTTAACAGCTTAATTAAGCTAAGGATCTCTGGCCTTGACCGGATGACAAATATTTTGTTAAGTTAAAATACTGAGTAATAAATGACAAGGATTCTGGAAATGAATGTAGCTGCCCTGCCGTTGTGAAAGGATGAAACATGTTTATTCAGCCTAACACATGTGAAGGGCAGTTCAATCAATACGAGCAATTGTAGAGAAGCATTGATCAGAGTTTTATGGCCAATCTACAATCTCAGGGTTTTAAAAAGTGGGGACCTCTTGATAACAATTTTACTTGATCCTGATTCCTTCTTAAGACCTACACTGTAAGAAAATAAATAATTAGCATTGAATCTATTTCTTTCAACTTCCTCCTATGATTGGCGAGTGTTTGTATCAGGGCTAAGGGCCAGATTATTTAACCTGTGAGAGAAAGCAGTTGCTTTAAATATTGTTTTTACAATTTTTAAAGAATATAAGTCTAATTTAGAATTACCGTAGACATTTCTATCTGGCTTTGGCATTTTTAAAGATATATGTGAAGAAGCAAGCCCTGCAAATTTTCAAAGAAAATTATAATTCTTAAGCTTTCAACCTTTTTAATGTTCCATATAACACACCGTTTGAAGACTAAAATTAATAAACAGAGCAATTTCCCTGTAATATGTTCAGCCTTACTGTTAGTTGCTAAAATGATTGCTCTCACTTATGGCTGACATGTATTGCAGACATGTCTTAATATATTGTTAACTTTAGTTATGTCAAAACCTTAATATTTTCTCAATACATAGCTACGTCTTTGCGTACACAGCTGTTTCAGCATATCAGCTCGGGTTCAGAGAAAGAAGTTCTTCTAAAATCAAAGATGGCTGCTAGGCAGAGGCCAACCATAAAGCAAGGGGAACAGCGGCGTCTTGAGGGGACTAAGCATTACAGGCAAACGTGAGAATTCTAATTAAAAACAACACTTTTGTTCTTTCTAAATGAGTGACCTGATAACCTACCTGTGCTTTGATTCCTATCCAACTGCCCCCCCACTGATCATCAGATCTCTGCAATCACCAACCGGTGGTGGAAAGTGTGACACATCGATTAGCTCCTGGTGAAATGAGCTTCGAAATGATGTGTTTTTTCTGTTTTTCACAGAGGATGGTTGAAACATTACACAGAGTAGCTCAGTTTAATGACACTCTTTGCTTTCAGGAAGATAACAACCTTGATTTCCGACAAGCTAAAAGGTATTAGCACCTTTCTGTCTTTAGAGTCTGAACAATATATAATGTGCATAACAGTAATGCTGCAACACTGCTTGTTATTAATTATGTTTCTTTAATTTATGGAATAAAAATATCAAGTATAGGTCAACTTTAAAAAGTATTATTACTTATTATTTAATAGTATTATTATTATTTCTGATTCCACTTATCCCTTAGCAAAAAGTAGTATACTTGAAGTAAATTCTATTAAGAATACTTATGTATAAGTTTAGAAAGTATACCGAACAATGTACTTTTAGTGTACTTGAAGTATTACTAAAGTAATACTTCTTCGAACTAAATTGGGACATTTTTAAGTTTACTAAAGTACACTTAAAGTATATTTTAGTAAACAATAAAGTAAACAATAGTATAGTCAAGGACACTTGACTATACTATTGTTAAGTATATGGAATATAGTTTAGAATACGTAAACTCTAAGTGCACTCCCTGATTTTAAGTATGAAATTAGTGCACTTTTAGTATACTTGAATAAACTACTTTTTGCTAAGGGGGAACAGAAATAACCTAGAATATGAGTTTTAATTTTTTTTTTTTTATTTATACATATCCTCCTAAATAATAGTATACATTTTTATGTTAAGTACACAATTCTTAGTTAATTATTACCATATTCATTTGTTTTTGACAATACTTTTTCTGCATTGTACATATTCTTTATAATGCAGCTCTAAGGGAATTCCATTTATTGGTTAAAAACAAAACAAATTAATAAAAGCTGCATTTTAATTTTTGTTATTTCTATTTATTAAAAGTTATTCATGTTTAAAGTAATCAACAAACTACAATAAAAATTGTCCACTGATGACATCCCTACAGAGATCAAATACATAATTCCAGTTTATAGGGGTAGCTAGTGCTGGACATCTATCATCATGAAGATTTTGTTCAGGACAGCTTGTTTCATCAAGTTTAATGTGGATTTTAACCTTACAGTGTCAATGGACATACAGTATATATGGTCAATGTGTAAGCTGTGAATCTGAAGCTTAGTCTCAATATTCTAGTAGAAACTTAATTTTCCTCCATCTTCCAGTTTAAATAAACCGGAGCTTGTTGGAAATGGGAACACAGTGGGGTGTTCCAAAGGCCAGTCATCCCAAACACATGTAGACCAAAGTTGGTTTTTAAAGCCTGCTAACATTAAGCCTCTGGAACGGCCTGAACCACCGACTAATTCAAAATGTATAAGCCACCCTTAAAAGCTGTGTCCCTGCCAGGAAAGTAACTCAATTAAATGAGCTGCTTATTTTAAGTTGTCAAAGTGGTTCGACATAATTATTCTAGGACCTTGTGCTACAAACATTGTGTGGTTCTTTTGCATCTTCCTAGGGGATAATTATTTACTTGGATATTAAAAGAAATACATATATGATATAAATTATTAGACAAACCCTTCTTTTCATCAATAACCTCTATTAATAGCATATTACCAGAGGAAAACAATAAATACAATAAAATTCAGGATGCAGCATATGCATAATCATATATATTTATATGTTATTTTTTTATTGTTTTCTTTTTAGGTTTGTAAGAATGTGATTTTTAGCTTTTTACTGCTTTTTTTCCTGTAATCTCTTGACAAACATGTTTTAATATTTACCCAGAAACCTTTTACCTCACTAGTCTTAACAGTCTTCCTTACCACACACAGCAGTTTCTATCACTCTTGTCTAATGTGCTATAGAAGTCCAGGAAATGTGCAATCTGTCTGTTTCATAGGTTTTCCTTAGGGATCATTGGATAGGTAGACTAAACTAGCCTGGAGCGATGTGTTTGGAACATCCAATCATGTGGTCTGGCGTTGCTTTGTGGTCCCGTTAGCAGACCTGAAGAGATGCACAGATTTGTTTTCACCCAGCAGTATGCACATCCAATCTGCCCCCTGCACACACACAGAAACACACAGAGACACCGAGTTTCCCCTCACCCTCAGGCCCAACACACCGCTGCATAGATTGACTTTCAGACACAGAGCATGTTGCTGGGTAATTGCATTGTTAATCAATGTCTCTCCAAGTGGAGACAATGGGTTGGTCCTCACACTCTGTTTCTACAGATTGGCTATGAATGACATACAGTGGTGTAATCTTCTTTCAGTGTGTTATCTGTGGTATGGATTTCCAGGTAGTAGTCAGGTCACTCATTTATCAATGTTCTATATTTTTCTGTCAATTCAACTTTTACATTTACCTACAAATGTAGCTAAATTTCAGCCGACTAAAACTCATTAGGTGGATCCTTGATGTGTGCTTTTCTGTCTTCTTACTTACATCTGCTGTGATACTTTCCAAACATGTTAAATAATACAGTTCTGCTGCTGGAGGCCAACATAGGACAAATATCTCACTAATCGTTAGCTTCATCCTGAACCTTTAACTTCCTAACTTGCCAAAACAGAAAACTTTCCTTAGTAACCAGCCCCAAAAACCTTGTAATGCATAATTTGGCTTTAATTGTTGCACTTTATTCACTTCCAGAATGTGTTCTTGTCATTATAGACTCATAATTAGACATATAAAAAAAGAAAAATAATTTGTTAGACATGAGGTCTAAATTACATTTTAATTCTTTTTTCTAAGTAATGACAAAGATCCTAAAAAACGATACCTACAGCTGAAAGCCTCTGGTCCCCCCTGTCCATGTATTGGTTCATAGACTTGCAGATCGTACTCACAGTACCTGCTCGTCGCTCTGTTAGCAGCATCTGCCGATTACTCAAAGCGATTAGGTAGGTCCTGGCTTTAGACTAGGGGTTATACAGGTGATAGGTAGAATGCCTGCTCTTTGTGATGTTGAGCCAGGTGCCCTGCTTTATCGCTTTGTAAAATATGTAGTAGTTTAAAAGTTGAATAACATAAAATAACATAATATAATGTTATTTATGTTATTTCCCACGTGAAGAACTCCTGTAAACCTTGCAGTATTGAAACTCAGTGAACAAGGCATCTTAGACAAGCTGAAAAACAAATGGTGGTACGATAAGGGTGAATGTGGAACCAAGGACTCTGGAAGTAAGGTCAGTCGCTGCAGGTCTTTTGTACTGATTCCAAATTGCATTTTGACGTACTGTTCATATGCAAGACAAGAACTCTTACATGTCTAGAATGCATTTTCTTTATTTTCTACACACTTTGCTTTTTTTTAAACTTCACAATTTGCCGCACACTGTAACCCAGCCTCTGCGCGGCGATGGGCACTGCTTCCCCTAGTTTTTAAATTTTTTCTTTATTATTATTTTTTTTTATATAATATTTGCATTTAGACACCTTTTTAGGCAGTTTAAAATATGTGACACTCTTTTTCATAAAAACTGTAACGATAACTTTTTGGGGAAACTGAGCAAGTGCCTTTTTTTTTATTCTGAATCACAGCAGTTAACATATGTTGATAAATGCTGTTTATTTTTGCTCATTTCCATTCTTGACATTCATGATACTATGACCATTATGCTGCTGTTTCTATTTACCAAACCGTTAATGAAAATTTGATTTGTTTGTGTTCTTACTATTTTGCATCGTGACGTGTCTATTAGATTCTTTGGCCTCCTGTGGTGTGATGAACAAGCAAACCCTCTTATTGTGATGAGTTACACAAATTCAACCTCTCAGAGCGCCACAGGGCGTCCTCTAAATTTTGTGGTGACTCAGAGAGCAGGCTTAGATGCTTTGTTTGAGCATTACAAGAAGTTGAAGAATTTAATAAACCCGTCATTTAACCCTTTGAGATCCAGGTGTATCAGATATCAACATAGGGTTATAGTATAACTCCACACTCATAGGGTTAAACTGCAAATAGTAAAACTCTAATGAACAAATTTTGAAGTAATACATTTGGTAGGTAAGCAGCAGCAAAATGGTTTGGATTGATAGTTTTTTTTACTCTTAACTCAGCTATCATTCATATGCTATCAACTTGACTGTACTGTATGACATTGTTGCCATAAGAGTTATACGTACATGTCTCTTAGAGAATTAAAAGGACAGGGATCTTTTTTTAAGAGCTATCGACCTATGCGATACTGACCGGCTTCCTTTTTTGGTTAAGAGCAGAAGCCATTTTAATGTTTATGTAGCTTATAACAGGAAAAGCTCTACATTCACCAGCAGAGTTAAACTCTTCTAGCTAAAAATTAAGAATTCTTGGCTACTATAAGATTTTTTAGCTATATTAATATAGTCTTAGCTTTTTTGTTTTTGGTTTTTATGTTGATAGCTTTCTCAATTAGCTATGATTAGATTTACATTCAGTAGTTAACAGCATAGTTTCAGGGTTGCCTTTTGAATGTTGCCTTTTTTCCAGTATAAAACTCTTAACTTTGATATTCACTTTCCCCCAGGACAAGACAAGTGCTCTCAGCCTAAGCAATGTGGCAGGTGTCTTCTATATTCTGGTTGGAGGGCTGGGGCTGGCAATGATGGTGGCTCTGATAGAGTTCTGTTATAAATCAAGGCAAGAAACCAAACGGCTAAAATTGGCCAAGAATACCCAAAATTTTAAGCCCGCTCCCCCGACCAACACCCAGAACTTTGCCACATACAGAGAAGGCTACAACGTTTACGGAACCGAGAGTGTTAAGATCTAGAGGTAAGTACTCTTTACCTTTTACAGACTCCCTGTGTATCAGAGGAGATGAATCATTTAGATTCCTGTCATCGCAGTCAGATTGAATTATTCAGTTCTGTGTATGCTGCCAGGGAAATTGTTTATGGTTGTCATGTTGGACAAAACACAATTATTTCCACTCACCAAAAAACTCTGATACACATTGTGAAATAAAAAAAGACAAGATGCCCAACATTGCAAGTTGTAGTGGTGGCAATAAATAAGAATGCACATTTTTAGTGGAATAAGAATGTGATTTCATGATTATAGTAGCACATTAAATACAGTAGGTGAAGGTGTTAGCATCCTAGACAAACTGATAGAAAACAACGAAGCTCTGGAGCTTCAAGCCCCAGCAAGTTTAAATATGTAAAGTAGAAAATTTTTGTAATAAGACCATTCAAAGTTCTGTGTATGAACAGGATGTTAAAAAAAAAAGGAAAAACAGAGGCAAACATAAATAGCTGTGGCACAATTTAGGCAATAAAATAAAAGTTGGACTACAAATTAAATGTTTCAGAAAGGTATAGACTCTACTATAGCCCAAGTTCTCTACACAATAAATCAATTATTTTGTTTTTTCTCTTGGGAGAAGGCAATTCCTTAGCACTTTGTTTTTGTCCCATTATCCTAGTACTGTTTGCTGACGGCCAGTCTTTATATAACTACTACTTTTCACTGTTGGGGAACGTCTACTTTTCACTGACATTTATTGAATATTCGTGTTAAAACCTGCATATGTCTACATGGAGATGGAGACTTCAGTTGCTCTAAACTCTCCTCCTGGAGAGTTGCTGTCTTAGGAGCCTCCTCCATTTCGGCCTTTACTGTGAACTGATACTTTTCACTGTTGGTGAACTTGTGCTTCTCACTGTTTTAAAGTAGACTTCTACATTCCATATTCAGTTTCAAGGTGGAAAATCTTAGATCACAGTAAGATGTTTATATAAATTTGTACCTTTAACTGCACTTGACTTTTATGTTGTATTTAAGTAGGTATAATTCAGTTCATCTCTTAATTTGATCAAGTTCTTAATGCTTTAATGTTTCTAGGCACACAAGGGGTAATTTTTGTAGAAACTTGATTCATTTGAATTATTCACATCATGAATGAATCTCCACAATCAGCAGTGTTCAAACCAAACTATCCGTAAACATTGCAGTTCTTTGTAAAGAGAAACATTTTCTGAGTTACAAAGGCTGACATATTCTACTGATTTTACCATACCTGAGCTTTTGCATAGAAGACCTACACAGCATCCCTCAAACCTCTATGCACGCTGATGAAAGGAGCCATCAGGGTAATTCATAAGGCTGGCTATTATGACCACCCTAATCCATTATTCATTCATCCCTGCTTGCTTAAATTCTCTGATGTGGCGGAAAATCAAACCTCAAAATTCATGTCTAAAACTAGAAATAAAGAGCAACCAGACAGCATAGAGGTACGTTTCAGAGAGAGGGACGGAGGGCATAGTTACAGGAATAATCTAAATGTTAAAATATTGCATATTACAAAAAATGTGCAATTTAAAAAATGATATCCATCCATCCATCCATCCATCTCTAATAAATCTCTAATAAAGCAATCACCAACATGAGACAGTTTCGGAAGATTTGGCTTTCTTAAAAGATATGAAATGAAAGAAGCGCAGTGAACATCTGCATCACACTGTAAATATCGTACTTGCACTAGATGACAAATCTTCAAATCCCTTTAAATTAAGTTCAACTCAGTATATCCACTGCATTTTGCACCACATCTATTTATCTATTTATTTGTACTGCTCTGAACCTTCCACATCAATCCCTTTTGCACTATGTCTCTCCTACACTGTTCACATTTTATAAATGGAAATGTTCATTTCACTGCGAAGCTGCTCATTCACTGTCGAAAAGCTGTATGTATCAGAATTGTCTTTTGTATACACTCTGTGTACACAAGATGAAAATAAAGTTTCAGTCTAACATTAAAGAGGCATTTCAGAGTTTTGGAGCTGGATGTCTGTTGCTTCTGAGTATCCACAAAATCCATCTTGAATTTTATGCTTAAACTGTTTGTTAGATTGAATCCATTCAACATGGACGCCCTTGATGTCACACCAGCAGAAACAGCACAGGAAAATCTGACCCAAAGTAAATTCAAGGAAAATAGGCCACAGGTTTATGGCTATAATGGTGCTTAACTACTGAGGTGTCAGTGAACTCATCAAACTATCTTTTAGTCATAAATGCTCAAATAAAAAGGCTTTTTAAAGATATTTTTTAGTAAGAAATTAAAAAATGCGTACTCTTAAGGCTTATTTAAACTCAGAAACAAGGTTGTCTGCGTGTGTCGCAGTGAACGCAAATGTGCCCCTGCCCCCAATGCAGACACTCTATTGCACCTCTGCAAAACCGCAGACAGAGCCTCAGAGAAGTGGCCTCTGATTGGTCAAATCTACATCCGCTCTACACTATGCATATTTCCTGTTTGGTACCTTACCGTTTTTTTCTTTTTTGTATGACCGCCATTGTGGAAAACGACTCGTGAAGTTCAACCAGCTAGAAGAGCGAGGTGTGCGAAAATGCTGGGAACCTTTTTCCACCTGGATTCCTGCTCTTTTTTGCCCTCATGTTCCTCCGTTGTGGCACAAACTTGCTAGCCTGACGTAGTCCTACT